TTACAGCCGCCCCTCCTCGCTCCCACTGAGCTCTGCCCCATTAGACGCTGGTGGCACTGGGCCCCCACAGGAGGCAGACTATGTGGGGATCTAGTTTGTGCCTCCTTATGAGAAGCTCGTGCCCCTCCTCCCCCAATCTGTGGAAAAATTGTCTTCTATGAAACTGGTCCTTCTGGCAAAAAGGTTGGGGACCACAGTCTTAGGGCTTCCTTGAGTAACTAACTCTGGCCCTGTCCCACCTCAGTCTTGGGAGGTGCTTCTTGGCTGGAGGACTGTGTCTTCTCCTTGGGATTTTGTCCTTATAGAGAGCCTGTTAACTGTATGTGTGGCAGACCACCACAAAGCTTCATGGGAAGAAGTGAGAGTTATAAGAAACACCTGTAACAGCTCGGTAATGTGATACCTTGGTGATTTGGGCATGGGGAAGGTATTAGGCTCTCCTGACGTGAGAGCTTAGGAGTCAAAACATCAGTGATTGGCAGTCTTTACACCTGTGGTGCAAGTAGCCACAGGATTACATCTATAAGAAGCTGCAGGAAAGGGCAGTCAGGAGGTGCTCATTCTTTCCTGGACTTGTTCACTGACTCTTTCACTTCTCCTGTTCCCAGTGCCCCTGCCTGGAGCCTGTCTAAGAAGACTACTAAGATTTACTTTCCTACTAAGACTGTTTCTCTCCCTTTTGCTAAAGCTAATGGCCCTCAGGCACCTAAGGGTAATTGTTTGCAAGCAAGGTAGCACGATAGTCCTGTCCTGACTAGTCCTGACTATGGATAAGTCAGGGTGGAGACCTGGCCAGTCCTGAGCCTCAGCAGGTGGCACCCTAGATGGGACCCAACATATATGACGAACTATAGTTTTCAAAGAGAAAAAAAGTTTGGATTTGTCAATTAAACTGAGCAGAATCTGGCCAGTTTTGAAGATTACAGTTTCTTTTGCTTAAGCCACAAAGATTTACTTTCTCTCTTTTTTTTTTTGAGACAGTCTCAAGCTGTCTCCCTGGGTAGAGTGTTGTGACATCATAGCTCACAGCAACTTAAAACTCTAGGGCTTAAGCAATTCTCTTTCCTCAGCCTCCCAAGTATCTGGGAGTACCGGCTTCCGCCATAACACCTGGCTATTTTTTGGTTGTAGTTGTCGTTGTTTAGAGGGCCTGGGCTGGATTCTAACCTGCCAGCTCTGGTGTATGTAGCTGGTGCTCTAGCTGCTTGAGCTATAGGCGCTGAGCCTGCTTTCTTTTTTCAAAGAAAAACTGCTTTTCTCCTTACCAGAATTTCAGTTGAGAGAAAAGGTCTTGTTTTAGACAAAAACCTTAACCTCAGAGGGGAATGAAAGTCATAGATCTGCTGTTAGTGAAATCTCTAGAGAGTGACAAATGGACCCTCCATGGCAGAGCTTCCATCCCAGCCCTACTGGGTTGGGGGCACGTGTGGCTCATCAGTTTGAAGCCACGGCCAAGTCAGAGGTGTGGAGACCTGAGGGCCTGCTGGGGCCTTCACTGCATAAGGCAGCCACAGCTCCTGGCTTGCTGCTGGTGCAGTGAGAGGAGTTGGAGGCAGGTCCCAGGTGAGTTGCCCTGTGTCAGCCTTAGAAATGAATTTCAGGCACTGTGATTAAACATTAAGTTTATTCGAGTGCAAAGTTGGAGGATGGCCATTGGAAAGACAGATTCAAAAGGGTCAGTGCTCTAAAGTGGAGGATAAACGGTCCGTTCCACAGGTGAGGTCTGGGGAAGAGTAACAGGATTACATTATTTTCTCTGGAGGGTTACTGAATAGTTATAGCAATTTGATTTGTCATAGGCCGTGTTTCTATCTTTCCTTCTTTTTTGGGGAACAGATATATTTAACATTCCACATTAAAGATGTAGTAGTCAGGGGACTGGTTTGACCATCTGGTTTGACCCTGGAACAAGGAAATGAGGAAGGAAGTTACTCTGCAACACAAGACTGGGAGCTGAGCAGCTCTGTGACTTGGTCTCCAAAGTCAACCTTCCTTGGGGCCTAAGAACTAGGAGAAGCCCAAAAAGATACTATCTAATTTCTTTACAGTCTCTTCTTTTTTTTTCAGTTTTTGGCCAGGCCGGGTTTGAACCCACCACCTCTGGTATATGGGGCGCCCTACTCCTTTGAGCTACAGGTGCCGCCCTCTTTACAGTCTCTTCAGCTATTCGTGCCCCCCGTCCCTCTCCTCTCTCTGGAGCTCTGTTATGCTTTGCACCTGTCTGTCTCTTTGCTGTGTGTAATATGCTGTTAAACCTCAGTCATTACATTTTACGTATTGGTGATTTTATTTTTCATTTCTAGAAGATTGATTTGGATATTTAAATATTTTGCTTGGTCAAATTTTTGTGGTATTTAAATTTTTTCTTTCTTTTTGTTTTTAGAGACAGAGTCTCACTTTTATCGCCTTCGGTAGAGTGCCATAGCGTCACAGCTCACAGCAACCTCCAACTTCTAGGCTTAGGTGATTCTCTTGCCTCAGCCTCCTGAGTAGCTGGGACTACAGGTGCTCGCTACAATGCCTGGCTATTTTTTGTTGCAGTTTGGCAGGGGCTGGGTTTGAACCTGCAACCCTTGGTATATGGGGCCAGCACCCTAGTCACTGAGCCACAGGCACCATCCTATATTTTTTATTTCTTCTTTCTTTACACATAGGAAACATATATGTTCTGTTTTTGGAAATTACAGTATCTGAAGTCTTGTGGGTCTGATTCTGCTGGTCCTTGCTCATGGTGGTTTGTTTTCCTGTATATCATTTTTGACATCAGTTAATATTTGTTAGTTTTTTGGGTTTTTTTTTGAGACAGAGCCTAAAGCTGTTTCCCTGGGTAGAGTGCTGTGGCATCACAGCTCACAGCAACCTCTAACTCCTGGAATCAAATGATTCTCCTGCATTTGCCTCCCAAGTAGCTGGGATTACAGGCACCTGCCACAATGCCCAGCTATTTTTTGGTTGCAGCCATCATTGTTGTTTGGTGGCCCTGGGCTGGATTTGAACCCACCAACTCAGGTGTATGTGGCTGGCGGCTTGACTGCTTGAGCCACAGGCACCGAGCCTTCTTTGGCAGTGTTGCTATCTCAAGAACAGGAGAGTGTATTCACTGCCCTGGGTGGGGCAGCTCGCTGCACCAGGGTGGTTTGTGTGGCCTGCACTGTATTGTGCCTTGGGGCAGCTGTAGCACAATAGTGTCTGTGCCTCTAAACACATCTAAACATAAAAAAGGCACAGGAAAAATGGTGCAGCTGTATAGGGCACTTAACATGAGTGGAGCTCTTAAGATGGAGGTTGCTCTGGGTGTGTCTGTGAGAGATGAGTGCCATGTGATAGAATCCGCCATGCCCTGCAGACTCTGCACATTGCATTCTCAGTCCACACTAAGTCAGAGAGAAGATAAAGTAATTGCGTTATGATGGCTTTAGTGCCACCAGACAATAGCAGTTTTTCCATATGATCTTTTTTTCACCTTTGGACAGGCTGGAGTGTGGTGGTGTCATCACAACCCCTGGCAGACTTGAACCTCTGTGCTCAAGGGCACCTACCTCAGCCTACCAAGATGCCAGGACTGAAGGCTTGAGCCACTGGCTAGGCCTCTCATTTTATGGGATTGCAATGGTACATGTGGTCCAGCATTGACCAAAATATGTTGAGGTGCATACTGAATTCCAGATATTTTGTGGACACAGTTTTTCTTCTTTCACAGCCAGTGTTCTCCAGGCATGTCCCTTGGTGGGGCTTGTGTTCAGTCTTCTTTGCCCTGAGAATATGTCCAGGGGGAGTATGTTTGGTGGGACAGGTGCTCTGTCCCCTAATACCTGGCCAGAGGCCCTCAGGGAGGGTTGTGTTTACCCTTCAGTTTGCTTTTCCAGGGGAGTAAAAATGATTTCTTTCACCTTTCATAGTTTTTTGCTCACATGGGCCCCTATAACTAAAGACAGGCCAGTAAGAAACTCAAATAGAATTTTACTAACATGTGCATTTCATGTATACATGAGAAATCCCCAAGGAATGAGTAATTGTCAAAGATGTGGCTTTGAAGTTAGGCATGTGCAGCATCTTCAGCAAAGACCAGTGAATTTTTAGAGAAGTCACAAGTCAGAAGAGGACCTGGAATCTCTGGGAGGAACTCCTGGAGGAAGGCAGACTGCTGGCAGAGAGGCTGGTCAGCATGGCAGGTCATGGGGGCTCCTTGTCCAGAAGGCCCTGGAGCTGTCTTTAGGGATCAGCTTTTGGCCTTCCTGGCAGAGGGAGAGGGGACCCGCTGTCTCTGTAAGTGCATTTTCTGCCTTCAGGCAGAACATGGGGCAGGCAAGGGGCTTTCCACTTGCTGCCTCTCAGCTACCTTTGCGTTAGAACATTCATCACACCCATGTACTATATCTCTGGGACGGCCTCGCCCAGTCCACACACTCTCCGCTCTTTTCTTGGGTGCACTGCTTGTGTTCAGCACTTATCTAAAAGCTGCGCTTCTGGCCTTGGCGCCCTTGTGGCTGGTGGGGTTCGGCCCCAACTGGGCCCTGGCCCAGTTCTGCTCAGCTCCTTTCCTGGGCTACCCACCTTCTTAGCCTGTCTGGCTGTGCCAGGCCCACCCACAGCATCTTGTATGTGTTGAACTCCAGGTCACAGGTTCTATCTCTTCCCTGCCCTGCCCATCCACACCTCCCCTCGCCTCTTTTGGCCAGAGTCCAGCAGGTGCTCATGGGTCTGGGCCTCTATGTCTCATGCCCACTGGGCTAGGCTTGTGTCTCTTGTCATGACTTTGGTGCCTCAGGAGAGGTGGTATGGACCACAGGCCAGGGCATGTTTGGACAAAAGCCAGAGCCCCTGGAGTCTCCATTGGGGGAGAACTTGGAAGAGGGGCCAAGGGAGCCACAGCCTGGAAGGAGAGGTGGTGCTCACTGGGGTCTTAGGGAGCCATCAGGGAAAGGCTGAGGGGCTGATAGGGGAGGGGAGGGGGCCCTGGTGCCCTGTCTAGCCTGACCTGTGTGCCCTTGTCCTTCTAGGGGACGGCAACCTGCACCTCAATGTGACAGCAGAGGCCTTCAGCACATCACTCCTGGCTGCCCTGGAGCCCCACGTGTACAAGTGGACGGTGGACCAGCAGGGCAGTGTCAGTGCTGAGCATGGTGTGGGCTTCAAGAAAAGGGACGTGCTGGGCTTCAGCAAGCCCCCTGAGGCCCTGCAGCTCATGTGCCAGCTCAAGACCCTGTTGGACCCCAGGGGCATCCTGAACCCTTACAAGACACTGCCCTCCCGGGCCTGAAGGGCCAGCTCTCTGTGCCTGAGGGGTGCTCAGGGTCAGTGGGATGCAGGACCTGCGTGGGACAGGCACACAGGGCTGGCATGGCTTGAGACCCCTGGGCTGTAGCATGTGTGGGAGCTTCCTGTTCCTGCAGTCTGGGGATGGGCAGTGCAGAGCCTGTCCCTCCTCTGTGGGTGGTAGGTAGCTGTGCCCCTCAGAAACAGGCCAGGTCTCACCTACTTCATGGTGGACCCTGGAGTCCCACCTTGTCTGCCTTATCCCTCGCAGACTGGTGCCCAGTGGATGTCCACCTGTTTGCACACTACAGTGGGAGCCCCAGCACTGAGGCTCTGATGAGTGGACCTGGTCCTTCAGGTTGTAGGTGTTTTAGGATTGCACCTAAACTTATAGGCCAGAGTGGCAGGCTGTGTCAGTTCCCCATTTTTAGAAGGCCTATCAGTTGGGAGGACTTTGTCGGCAGTGTAGTGTGGTGGGCTCCTGTGGCACTGAGGTCAGCCCTCAGGTTCTGCTGCTGCAGAGAGTGTTTGGGAGCTGTGGGCACCAGGCACCAGCACAAACAGGACAAGACTCCCAGGGGGATTCTGCAACATCAGCGACCCTGACCTGGGCGGACCCTGTTTACCTATGGCCACAGACCATCTCCTGGCTGTCATGAATTTCCAGTAAAAATGTGAATTAACCATAGCCTTCTTCCTCTTAAGTTACTAGAAAAATCATCTTGTATATGCCCATCTTGAGTGCCTTTGCGTCCTGTTCCCCCAGCACCCAGGCCTGAGCTTGCTGTGGCTATCAGGGGCCATCTCCACCCTGCCCTATACCTATCCACTGTCCTGCCAGGGGACATAGAGTAGCAAGCATGGGACAGAGCCCTGTGGGCTCTGGAGGTGGCCCTGAGGCCCTTGGTTGTGGGGCCTGGTAGAGGTGGATCCATGGCTCCCGTTCTTGGGGACCCTGGCATGAGGGCATCTGTGAGGGGAAAACAACCACCCTGGCTGCTGCCCCTCAGAGGTCACTGGCCCAGCTCTAGCAACTCGGCATGAAAAGTAAATGAAGCAGAGTGGGATCGGTGGGAAATGATGAAATAAAACACGACAGAATAAAACATGAAAGACAAAGATGTGAGAGATAGAATTGAGAGGAAAAGATGAGATCAGGAGGTCTGGGATATTTGTGTCACCAGCACTCGAGTGCCCAAACAGCTTTATTTTTAAGAAGGCAGTACAAAGTTGTTTTTCTTTCTTTCTTTCTTTTTTTTTCTTTTTTTTTGAGACGGAGCCTCAAGCTATCCCCCTGGGTAGAGTGCCGTGGCATCA